AAATTAGAAACAATAATGGACCTAGAATTGACCCTGGAGGAACTCCAGCAGAAATGTAAGTTAAGTTTGATTGTTTACCATTGATGACAACATGTTGACAGCGATTACGTAAATAGCTCGAGAACCAATCAAATAATTTACCTGTGATACCTAAGTTTTGGAGTTTAGAAAGAAGGCCACGATGCCATACTCGGTCGAAAGCCTTACTAATATCGCAGAAGACCATTCTAATTTCTTTACCTTTATCTAAAGCAGAAAATATATCGTTAGAAATATATACAAGTTGATTTATAGTGGAATCACCGGATCTGAATCCCGACTGACAAGATGAAAGTAGGGACTTGTCAGTTAAATAGTTATAAACATATTTATATATACACCTTTCCATCATTTTACCTATGATAGACGAAAGAGAGATAGGACGGTAATTTCCGAGAACAGATGGATCACCTTTTTTGTGCACGGGACTAACATACGCCCTCTTCCATTGCGACGGGAACTTATAAGTAGTAAGAGAGTGGTTAAATAATGTTTGAAGTGGATAACTAAGAACTTCGGCTGCTTCTTTGATTAGACGAGGGTTTATGAGGTCAGGACCAACATCTTTTTTTGCAGTCAAGAGAATGTATTACGTCAAGAACATCTTGGCGGGATATGACAATGTCAGAAAGAGTATGATTATGGGATGTGTGTAGTTCAGGAGGGTCAATATTAGTGTCGTTAATATTAGAATGTGAGCTGAAGAAAGTGTTAAAGACATTGGCTTTGTCTGAGTCGTCGTGTATAAAGTTACCGTTATCGGAAATAGGAGGAATATGTGTTATTTTGCTTGAGTTAGACATAAGACGATTAACAATCTTCCACCATTCTTTGCTCCTGGTATTAGTATGGTTAACCTTTGTACATAATTTTTTAAAATAATCACGTTTGAATTTACGAATGGCATTTATACACATGTTACGAGCTTTCCTGAAATTCGACCAGTCGTCAGTATTCTGTGACTGTTTGGCTTTGCGGTGTATATACTTACGTTTACGAATCAATTTTCTAATTGCACTATTCATCCAAGCAGCATCATTCGCTCTTACAAGTATATCTTTATTAGGTATGCACTCAGTTGCAATTGTAAGTAAATAACGTGTAAATTGCTCTGTACTTTTGTCTATGTCGTTGATGTCGAAAGTGCTGTCCAAGTCAACTTTAGAAAGTCTGTCACGATATTCGTCGTAGTTGCCTAGGTCATATAGCCATACCTTACGTTTAAAACGGGATTTTAGGGGTTTTGAAATGTTAATAGTGCCATACACGGGACAATGATATCTAATAGGCTGATCGAGGAAATTTTCACCGACATGACACATGTTTACTAAAGAAGGATCACTTGCGCAAATTATATCTAAAAGGGAGGAAGACGATTCAGTGAAGAAAGTAGGACTGGCAACGCTTTGGGTAAGATTTAAAGTATGTAGTAAATTACATAGGTGTAGACAGTGATTAGTGTCACTTAGTAAATTTGCATTGAAGTCACCAGTTACAATTATATTAGAGATTCCGGTACTGAAAGCAAGATCTATAGAATGGGCAATGTAATCCCAGGAAGAAACTGGTGCATCGGGGGGCCTATAGAAAGTCCCATATAAAATGGACCTTCCAGAAATATTTAGCTGCAACCATACGCACTCAACTGAGGGTAACTCTAGGTCGGGTCGACGTTTAGAGGAAATTTCATTGCTTACATATACTGCCACTCCTCCTCCTTGCCTATTGGGTCTGCAGTAACAATAAGGGGGTGCAAAACCAGGAAAGTCAAAATCAGAAGTTATCTCGTCATGACTAAGCCACGTTTCGGTAAAGGACAGGATAGTTATATTATGTAGTTCACTGAAAAGAATATCAAGTTTTTGTTTCAAACTTAGGACATTCAGGTGCACGAAAGAATAGTTGGCGTCATTAAATAAAGTTGTAAAATTAGAAGAACATGATGAAACCGAGGAAAGATCTGATTCAGACTCACTTGGCCCAGGGTTACTCTCAACATCACCAGAGAGAAGGAGCAAAAATCTAATTATTAACAAAGTGATACATAGCGTGGTAGAGAGAGATACAACACTCTTAACTTCATTAGGTACATTCATATCAGTAAAAAGTGTTTGTAACTTAATCGGAGTAAGTAAGACATTCACCAATAGCGGTAATACATAAAGTATAAATAAGATGTCCACAAGCATAGCTCCAGACATACATGTATGGTTGCAAAATACAGAATATCAACGATTGTAAAAAAAGGCCTATCCGGATACAATACAAATTAGGGCAGATCGGCATTTAAGTTACAGAGAATAGTCTTTGGAGAAACATGAGAAATCGCATCCGGATAGGGTACGTGAATAGTGAACCATATCGTACTAAGACCAACAGCAGAGTTTTGAGTAGCAAAGTATAATGCAGTGTAGTATTTGAGGAAAAGTATATTTATAATGGGGTGAACGTTGTGAAGGGAAGGGGTCGTGCTAAAAATGAAAAGGAAGGTAGTCAAAAGGTTGGAGAACATGATGAACAATAGATGGATCAGGAGGATAGAACAATGCACTTGGCATAAGATAATGGAGGAGTACGCTAGGAGAATACATACACATACATCCGTACATACATCTAGAATAAGGACATATATAGCAGTATAATAATAAAGTGATGTTTACCTCAATATAATAAAGTTTGAAAAGACAAAGATTCACACAACAGAAAAGACATTTCAAGAGATTTAATTTCTACCCCAAACGAGATCCGCGAAACAAGGCATCACTAACACTCATTAGCTAGTCAGTACTATTGCAAACTTAAAGGAGCGTTGACAGAAAATGAAGCCAAGTGACCCGAAATGGATGGATTGGCAATAGCAATAAATGTTCAAGGCAGTGTCGCGGCAGGGCATAAGTACATTGTAAAATGAAAATAAATTCGAAATGTTTCGCAGATCACAGGGGCCAGTTCACTCGACATTTTAAAGTACATACATACATACATACACATACATACATACATACATACATACATACATACATACATACATACATACATACATACATACATACATACATACATACATACATACATACATACATACATACATACATACATACATACATACATACATACATACATACATACATACATACATACATACATACATACATACATACATACATACATACATACATACATACATACATACATACATACATACATACATACATACATACATACATACATACATACATACATACATACATACATACATACATACATACATACATACATACATACATACATACATACATACATACATACATACATACATACATACATACATACATACATACATACATACATACATACATACATACATACATACATACATACATACATACATACATACATACATACATACATACATACATACATACATACATACATACATACATACATACATACATACATACATACATACATACATACATACATACATACATACATACATACATACATACATACATACATACATACATACATACATACATACATACATACATACATACATACATACATACATACATACATACATACATACATACATACATACATACATACATACATACATACATACATACATACATACATACATACATACATACATACATACATACATACATACATACATACATACATACATACATACATACATACATACATACATACATACATACATACATACATACATACATACATACATACATACATACATACATACATACATACATACATACATACATACATACATACATACATACATACATACATACATACATACATACATACATACATACATACATACATACATACATACATACATACATACATACATACATACATACATACATACATACATACATACATACATACATACATACATACATACATACATACATACATACATACATACATACATACATACATACATACATACATACATACATACATACATACATACATACATACATACATACATACATACATACATACATACATACATACATACATACATACATACATACACACATACACACATACACACATACATACATACATACATACATACATACATACATACATACATACATACATACATGCATACATACATATAGAACATAATTTGTACATACATAGTATAGATACCTAGTAAACATAACGTACATACATTAACATTAAATGTTATTTCATAATTGAGGTAAAATTTAAACAGGTAAATGTATCAAGCATATTTAAACGATATATACAAACAACAGTAGATGTAAACAAATATAGAAATAAACAATGTAAAAGTTCCATAGACACTCTGTATCTCTTGTAGGTCACATCTCCAACATCATCAATTTCCAAAGGAAAAGACACTGAAACAACTTTTAAATTGACATAAATAGATATAACTCTAAATAAAACTTTCACATTGTAGTAGGGAAAAAAAAGAAAAATATGTTTAAGTAAAATATAAGCTGCCATACAGGAATGTCCACAGAATCGATACTTTTTTCAATGTTTACACACAACAATTAATGTGTTTCCTGTCAGAATCCAAACAACAATAGAATTATCTATTCTCAAAAAATCACTTCGTCCTTAATTTTCACAAAATCACGCAGTCCTAAATTTCCACAAAATCACTTACGTTCTTGATTTTAACAAAATCACACAGTCCTCAGTTGTAACAAAACTACATCAGTACTTAATTTTCACAAAACCACACAGTCCTCAATTTTCAAAAAAATAACTTACGTACTTAATTTTCAGAAACCACACAGTCCTCAATTTCACAAAATAATTTACGTACTTGATTTTTACAAAACCACACTGTCCTAAATTTTCACAAAAATCACTTACGTACTTAATTTTTACAAAAATATTAACGTACTTGATTTTTACAAAAATAGACAGTCCTAAATTTTCACAAAAATCACTTACGTACTTAATTTTTACAAAAATACACAGTCCTCAATTTTCACAAAATTCACTTACGTACTTAATTTTCACAACATTCACTTACGTACTTAATTTTCAAAAAATTACTTACGTACTTAATTTTCACGAAATTCACTTACGTACTTAATATTCACAAAATTCACTTACGTACTTAATTTTCACAAAATCACTTCGTCCTCAATTTTCACAAAATTCACCTCCGTAAATAATTTTCACAACATCACACAATCCTCAATTTTCACAAAATCACCCAAATCACTTTGTCCTCAATTTTCACAAAATCACTAACGTACTTATTTTTCACAAAATCACACAGTCCTCAATTTTCACAAATTCACTTATGTGCTTAATTTTCACAAAATCACATAGTCCTCAACTTTCACAAATTCACTTATGTGCTTAATTTTCACAAAATCACATAGTCCTCAACTTTCAAAAAATCACTCACGTAAGTGAATTTTCACAAAAACACACAGTCCTCAATTTTCACAAATTCACTTACGTACTTAATTTTCACAAAATCACACAGTCCTCAATTTTCACAAAATCACTAACGTACTTAATTTTCATAAAAATCACACAGTCCTCAATGCTCATAAAGACGTTACTGGTAGCTACGTCAAAAGAAATTTTCCTATTCCCCAAAAGGAACAGTCACTTTTGTCCCTGCCGATTATTGCTCGGCCATCCCATAACTGCTGAACGTTTTCTGGTGTAGCGTAATGTATAATTGTATGACATCGACAAAACAGGTCATTTAGAAACCAAGGAAAAACGTAAATGTTCATATTAAACACGAAATTTTCAACATGTTTTATCGACAACCCAAGCTTATATGCAACTATTCCTACGTAAACATCTTCAAGTTTGAATGTTCTTGTTTTCGTCATTTCGACGTATACTTTGTGTGCAGTGCTCAACGTCATCATATATCCAGGACCATTACAAAATGGCGGGTATGTTTTAAAGGGATATTCTCCGTAAGAAACTTGCCATTTGGTCCATTTTCTTTCCGGAGATGCTGTTAGCTGGCATGAACCAAGAATAGTGTCATCTGGAAGATAAGTGGAATCAGTTTGGATTTGTATAAGAAAGTCGAGGTCTAAAAAGACATCATCGTCGACTTTAAAAAAGTAACGTGCTTCACGACAAAACTGAGTCACCCAGTTGAAAGCTGCGCATGTTTTGTCTGTTAAATTGTAGTAATCTTCCACGACATCCACTTGTACTATATCTCCCCTTTCGTTGATATCTCGTTCTTCTTTACCGACCACAAAGTACACACTGAAGTTGTATTTTATTTGCATGTCTTGATTTCCCCATGTCTGTCGTATGGTTTGCCTTTGTAAAATGTTGGACGCCTTACTCAAAACCACGACAACAATGTTTCTCGCAGATTGTCTGTCATGCTTCAAATTTGGAACAACCAAAAATGGTTTGGGTTGGATGTTTTCGTCTTGATAAGAAAAATTTAAAAGATCTGGGAAGGATAATGTTTTCTCGTTATTTGTGATTTGCAAAAAGAAGAACCAGACCACCAGGATTGCGGCGCCGAACATCAACCCTTTGGAAAAGTTCCGTCTCACATACCTTTTCATTGTCCTACAATAAAAGAACACAATGTCTTATTATCTATTCATATATTGATGTAATCCTTTCTTTTTAACTTATCTCATGACGTCGTTTAATCAATTGAGGAATTCTTACCTATATGAGGCCACGTAACGTCTTTGATGCGAGTATCGGAAAATCCCACATACAATTATTCAAAATAGTAAATTCCACTCAATGATATCTTTCTAGACAAGTTAAAGAGTACTTTATTCTTGAAGATCAATGAAGCGCTGTATCGACAGCTGTTCAGCGTTAACTCCGGCATCTTTGATCTACCTAGATACGCCTAACCAGAAAGGAATACTGTATGCTTTAGGACAAACAGACCGATAAGATGGACGCTTTGGACTTAAATAATGAATAATTCATTATTAATTCATTTAATATAGATAGAAATTTAGGTTATTGATTCAACGGGTAGCAACGAGCATTCTGACACACTAATTTTAATCTTATCAGTGTATTGTGCTACATTACTTGTGTAGTGTGGTATCTTACCTGAGTACTTTGATACCTAATATGTGTACAGTGGTATCTTATCTGTGTAATGTGATATATAACCTGTGGACTGTGATATATTATCAGTGGACTGTGATATATAACCAGTGTACTGTGATATATAACCAGTGTACAGTGAAATATAACCTGTGTAATGTGATATATAACCAGTGTTCTGTGATATATAACCAGTGTCCTGTGATATATAACCAGTGTTCTGTGATATATACCCAGTGTACTGTGATATATTACCAGTGTACTGTGATATATAACCAGTGTACTGTAATATATTACCTGTGTACTGTGCTATATTACCAGTGTACTGTGATATATAACCAGTGTTCTGTGATATATAACCAGTGTCCTGTGATATATAACCAGCGTTCTGTGATATATTACCAGTGTACTGTGATATATAACCAGTGTTCTGTGGTATATAACCAGTGTACTGTGATATATCGCATGTGGACTGTGATATATAACCAGTGTACTGTGATATATAACCAGTGTACAGTGAAATATAACCTGTGTAATGTGATATATAACCAGTGTTCTGTGATATATAACCAGTGTACTGTGATATATAACCAGTGTTCTGTGGTATATAACCAGTGTACTGTGATATATCGCATGTGGACTGTGATATATAACCAGTGTTCTGTGATATATAACCAGTGTACTGTGATATATTACCAGTGTACTGTGATATATTACCAGTGTAATGTTATATTTTACCAGTGTACTGTGATATATAACCAGTGTTCTGTGATATATTACCAGTGTACAGTGATATATTACCAGTGTACTGTGATATATAACCAGTGTACAGTGATATATAACCTGTGGACTGTGATATATAACCAGTGTTCTGTGGTATATAACCAGTGTACTGTGATATATCACCTGTGGACTGTGATATATAACCAGTGTTCTGTGATATATAACCAGTTTACTGTGATATATAACCAGTGTACTGTGATATATTACCAGTGTACTGTGATATATAACCAGTGTTCTGTGATATATAACCAGTGTTCTGTGATATATAACCTGTGTCATGTGATATATTACCTGTGTACTGTGATATATAACCAGTGTACTGTGATATATAACCAGTGTACAGTGATATATTACCAGTGTACTGTGATATATTACCAGTGTGCTGTGATATATAACCAGTGTTCTGTGGGATATAACCAGTGTACTGTGATATATTACCAGTGGACTGTGATATATAACCAGTGTTCTGAGATATATTACCAGTGTACAGTGATATATAACCAGTGTACAGTGATACATAACCAGTTTACTGTGATATATAACCAGTTTACTGTTATATATAACCAGTGTACTGTGATATCTAACCAGTGTGCTGTGATATATTACCAGTGTACTGTGCTATATTACCAGTGTACTGTGATATATAACCAGTGTATGGTATATAACCAGTGTACTGTGATATATTACCAGTGTAATGTGATATTTTACTAGTGTACTGTGATATATTACCAGTGTAATGTGATATTTTACTAGTGTACTGTGATATATTACCAGTGTGCTGTGATATATAACCAGTGTTCTGTGGGATATAACCAGTGTACTGTGATATATCACCTGTGGACTGTGATATATAAACAGTGTTCTGTGATATATAACCAGTTTACTGTTATATATAACCAGTGTACTGTGATATATCCCCTGTGGACTGTGATATATAACCAGGGTTCTGTGATATATAACCAGTGTTCTGTGGTATATAACCAGTGTACTGTGATATATCACCAGTGTACAGTGATATATAACAAGAGTTCTGTGATATATTACCAGTGTACAGTGATATATTACCAGTGTTATGTGATATTTTACCAGTGTACTGTGATATATAACCATTGTACTGTGATATATTACCAGTGTATTGTGATATATTACCAGTGTTCTGGGATATATTACCAGTGGACAGTGATATATAACCAGTGTACAGTGATATATTACCTGTGTACTGAAATATATATAACCAGTGTACTGTGATATATAACCAGTTTACTATAATATATTACCAGTGTTCTGTGATATATTACCAGTGTACAGTGATATATAACCAGTGTACAGTGATATATTACCTGTGTACTGAAATATATATAACCAGTGTACTGTGATATATAACCAGTGTTCTGTGATATATTACCAGTGTTCTGTGATATATTACCAGTAGTGTACTGTGATATCTAACCAGTGTACTGTGATATATTACCAGTGTAATGTGATATTTTACCAGTGTACTGTGATATATAACCAGTGTACTGATATATAACCAGTGTTCTGTGATATATAACCAGTGTACTGTGATATACAACCCGTGTCCTTTGATATATAACCAGTGTTCACTGTGATATATTACCAGTGTACTGTGATATATAACCAGTGTACTGTGATATATAACTCGTGTCCTTTGATATATAACCAGTGTTCTGTGATATATAACCAGTGTACTGTGATATATTACCAGTGTAATGTGATATTTTACCAGTGTACTGTGATATATAACCAGTGTACTGATATATAACCAGTGTTCTGTGATATATAACCAGTGTCCTGTGATATATAACCATTGTTCTGTGATATATAACCAGTGTTCTGTGAAATATAACAGTGTACAGTGATATATAACCAGTGTTCTGTGATATATAACCGGTGTACTGTGATATCTAACCAGTGTACAGTGATATATAACCAGTGTTCTGTGATATATAACCATTGTTCTGTGATATATTACCAGGGGGGTGTGATATCTTATCTGTGGGCTGTGATATATAACCGTATTACCAGTGTACTGTGACATATAACCAGTGTTCTGTGATATAAAACCAGTGTCCTGTGATATATAACCAGCGTACTGTGATATATAACCACTGTTCTGTGATATATAACCATTGTTCTGTGATATATAACAAGTGTTCTGTGATATATAACCCGTGTATTGTGATATCTTATCGGTGTTATGTGATAAGTGTACTGTGATATATAACCAGTGTTCTGTGATATATTACCAGTGTTCTGTGATATATTACCAGAGTACTGTGATATCTTATCTGTGTACTGTGATATATAACCGTTGTACTGTGATATCTTTTATGTGTACTGTGATATATAACCAGTGTACTGTGATATATAACCCGTGTCCTGTGATATATAACCAGTGTTCTGTGATATATTATAACCAGCGTACTGTGATATATAACCAGTGTACTATGATATATAACCAGTGTTCTGTTATATATAACCTGTGTAATGTGATATATGACCTGTGTACTGTGATATATAACCAGTGTACTGTGATATCTAACCAGTGTACTGTGATATATAACCAGTGTTCTGTGATATATAACCAGTGTACTGTGATATATAACAAGTGTAATGTGATATATAACCAGCGTACTGTGATATATAACCAGTGTACTATGATATAAAACCAGTGTACTGGGATATCTTATCTGTGTACTGTGATATATAACCAGTTTACTGTGATAAATAACCAGCGTACTGTGATATATAACCAGTGTACTGTGATATACAACCAGTGTACTGTGATATATAATCAGTGTACTGTGATATATAACCGTTGTACTGTGATATCTTTTATGTGTACCGTGATATATAACCAGTGTTCTGTGATATCTTATTTATGTACTGTGATATATTACCAATGTACTGTAATATATAACCAGTGTACTGTGATATATAACCAGTGTACTGTGATATATACCACAGAACACTGGTAATATATCACAGAACATAAATAAGATATCACAGAACACTGGTTATATATCAAAGGACACGGGTTTATATATCACAGTACATTGGTAATATATCACAGTTCACTGGTATTATATCACACTACACTGGTTAGATATCACAGTACACAGATAAGATATCACAGTACTCTGGTAATATATCACAGTACAATGGTTATACATCACAGTACACTGGTATTATATCACACTACACTGGTTATATATCGTACACAGGTCATATATAACCTGTGTAATGTGATATATGACCTATGTACTGTGATATATTCCCAATGTACTGTAATATATAACCAGTGTACTATGATATATTACCAGTGTATAGTGATATATTACCAGTGTTTTGTGATATATTACCAGTGTACAGTGATATATAACCAGTGTGCTGTGATATCTTATTTATGTACTATGATATATTACCAGTGTATAGTGATATATTACCAGTGTATAGTGATATATTACCAGTGTACTGTGATATCTAACCAGTGTACTGTGAAATATTACCAGTGTACTGAGATATATAACTAGTGTACTGTGATTTATAACCAGTGTTCTGTGTTATATAACCAGTGTACTACTGTGATATATAACCGTTGTAATGTGATATCTTTTATGTGTACCGTGATATAAAACCAGTGTTCTGTGATATATAACCAGTGTCCTGTCATATATAACCAGTGTAGTGTGATATA